GGTTTGCCCGTGTCAAAAGGCTATGATGCTATTTTGGTAGTCGTAGACAAGCTATCCAAGCGGCCAAAGTATATTCTGACGAGATCAGATGTCGATGTACCCCAAACGGCGAAGGAATTCTTCAAACATGTTGTCCCCCACCATGGATTACCAGAAATGATCATCAGTGACCGTGACCACAAGTTTACAAGCACGTTTTGGAAGTCCCTCATGGAGATTATGGATATTCGCCAAGCCATGACCACCGCCGGCAGAGCTCAAGCCGATGGAGCGACTGAGCGCCAGAATCGAACTCTTGAAGATGCGCTCAGATGCCAAGTTTCGTATCTAGGACAAGATTGGGTCGACCATTTGCCAACGATCGAGTATGCCCACCAAGGCTTAGTACAAACATCAACCGGGTTAACGCCGTTCGAAGTCGACACAGGCCGCAAGTTGCGCAACCCTGCCGTGAGCAGCTCCTTGCCCAAAAATGACTTTGCCAAGAATTTTGCAGAACATCGCAAGGAAGTCATTCGGATGGCTCACGAGAATTTGACGAAGGCCCAACAGCGTCAGAAAGAGTATTATGACAAGCGCCGCTCGAACGTGACCTTCAAGGAAGGCGATCAAGTACTGCTAGCGACTCGCAACCTGCCTTTAAAGCATGCCCAGATGCTCGACACGTCCGAGCGTCCCAAGTTGGTTCCACGATTCATCGGTCCCTTTGAGATTGTCCAAGCCATTAATGACAACGCCATGCGCCTAAAGTTGCCTCGCTCGATGTCACGTGTGCATGACGTGTTCAACGTCGATCGACTTAAGCACTATCACCCCAACGAAGCCAAGTTTGCCTCCCGGCCTATCCCGAAAGCTACTCCCGTTATTCTAGAGGAATCCACCTGCGAACAAATGTACATTGTCGAGATACTGCTCAAAAAGGATTAAGGAGATCTTTGTAGATCTTCAGTTAATTCATTATGCATTTTGCCCTCAACTACACACGCTTCCTCCCGAAGTGCTACAATTGGAATTCTGGCGGTGGCTGGAATGTATACCTCGTATCTTGTGGTGATGGCGATATACCTTGGGTGTGCGAATGGGGGCCGATGTTATCAAGTGCGACAACTGACACAACGACGACGCTTCACTGTCGTGAGGGTGTCACCGAGTGAGCCCCCAGACTGCAAGTTTCACAAATGACTCCCCCCAATAGGCTAAGACATACAGTATCACCCGAGGGATATGATTAAGCGTTGAAAACTCTACCTACTACGTAATAAGCCTATGTAATGGTGATGTTGACTTGCGAAGGTGTTCGCAACCGACGACTACCGTTTTCACAACGGTAACCTCGATGACAAATCCAAAAGTAATTTCATTATCCAGTCCATCAGTCAGTCCATCCTTTCACTTCACTACTCTCTACAAGTCATGCATCGTACAGTGTACCATCAGCTCGGAACATATGCCGCTTCGGATCCAGGTCATATTTCACACTCTTCAAATGCCGTGCGTGAACAACATTCGGCTACCCACACTCAGGCACGGGGAGTCAGTCGAACAGAAGCTCGACCGATAACAGGTTGTGTATACCGGATTGCATGTCAGTACAGCATCATCGTCTTTTCGGGGAGAGTGCGACAGTATGTAGCTGCGGTACATTGCAATCAACTCCCAGGACAGTCAACGATGCAGTATCCCACGCCACTACATGGCTGGGTGTGAAATTCATGGACAGGATGATCGTCAGTTGCGCATATCCACCTAAAAAGACACAACAATGCATTGTTACAGGAGTTTGCCTTTGGTGAACTCTGTTGTGAAATCAATCTATTATTAGAAAAGTGAATTAGGGTGCTGTGTGTCAAGTCCGCCAACACAGGTATGGACACCGACGAAGTAAAACCGTCCAGTGTTGTTGTTTCCGCTCCCCCCGCCCAGTCCCAGTCGCGCCATATGGACGAGGACGACGGCTATGGTCTCCTTGCCGCCATTATCATCGTTGGGATCTTCTGGATATTGGGGGCTCACCTTGCGTTGTATGGGTTGCGCAATCGGCGGCTGTCTATCTTTCTCTCGTCCCTACTCCTATTTAGCACGTTGTACTTTGCTCAAGTCAGCTTTGGCGTGGTGGTAGCTGCGATTGTGCTCTCATTTTTGCTGGCGTTCGTCCCGCAGTTGTACAAAATCGGCCTCGTTTTCGTGGGTATAGCTGGTGGGTCATCCGCCGTCGCGGTCGTGGCGGTAGTCGCGCTGTCCGTCTCATTGGATGATGTTGATGGCATTACCCTCGTTTGTGTTGAAGCCGTAGCTGCGCTCGGATGTGGCTGGTGTGCGTTAAAATAGGGCGACTCGTGCTTCATCCTTGCGACAGCGTCCACAGGGGGCTTTCTTGTCAGCACGACGACGGGATTCTGGCGCTGGTCCGCATTTATATCTGGATCCCATATCTCGTGGTGGTGGCGATATATCTAGTTTGCGTGTGTGGGGGTCGATTTTATCAAGTACGACAACTGAAGCAACGAAGGGGGGTGTTGACGCCCTCGAACCCCCCCAAGGCTGTGCCGTTGGTATCGGGGGCCGGTTTTATCAAGTACGGCAACTGAAGCAATGACGGGGGCTGTTGACATTTGAGAATTTCAGCTGAATAAAATAACCCTTACTTATTTCAGCCGCTAAGAAATCGAGTTGCAGCACTTACGCAGTGCAACCACCAGCTCATCACGATGCGTACCGTATTATGATGAAATGGAAGTATTATACATCGTGCAGTCGTAGTGCGTCCTTGCCTTCCACGTACAGTGCTAAGGTTAGAGCAGATCAAGTGTTGTAGGCATGGCACAGCTTTGAATCATTGGACAAAGCGACGACTAGCCTAACTATATCGCTAACGTTACAAATTACTCGGGGTAGTTAATGTTTGTAGTGATGACGGATGGGAGGTCATGTATGTGGTCATAGCTGCTTCAATTTCATTGCGGCAAGCACCTTGACGTGTTGACGTAAAACAAGTTGTTTGCCAGAATGAAAACGGCAAACAACTTGTTTTACCAAAATGCCTGTAAAACCACCTTCAACCAACCAATCATCGCATTAGATGAAGTTAATTTTACTAGTAAAGCACATACCCAACCGTTATTCTAATTACTTTAGACGTTATTTAAGCCTGAGAAATTTTTAAACAATGAATTTAACCCTGGAATTGCCAAAAACGATGCAAAGCACAATACGAAGTATTAATACACATTTTGAGCACGTTTAAGACGCCAGAACGCTTTATTTTACCGCTTAGAGCAGACGAAATCTGTCTAGCGGACATTCCTTTGCGGGTAGCGAGCCGGAAAATGCGGCGTACTTCTCGGTGGGTCAGCTTGGAGCGTCTTCCAGCTCTTTTGCAGGGTTGACTCGTGACTGAATTTGGTGATGCATGTCCGAATAGCTTATCGCTGCGTCCGAGGGCTTTTGCGATCCACCGAAGAGACTTCCCGACCTCAAAGTAGGCCTTTATCTGGCCACGTTCCTCATCGGTGATGTTAAATAATGGCCTTTTCAGCCATCCGCATAAAGTGCGTCTATTAATTACAACGTAGTAGTGGTCAGCCCAAAATTTGAAAAACTACGATTCTATGATTTCCATGGATCTGTTGAAGCAATCCGCTTGAGGGATACTCTCTTATGGTCCTCTGAGAGTAGGGGATCATGCATTGGCAGCTGAATGTGACAATGAATTGTCGAACTCGAAAAATTTCAGGTGAGTCTATTATTACTGGTCGGACTGTACAGTAGTCACCTTTAAAGTGTTGAAGTATTCGACGTACAGTAGTATACTAGTAGTACCGTTGGTATTGTACACTCCAGTTAGTCAATCAAGTACGAGTTTTGAGTGTTCTGTGTACGGGAAGCCATTCCGGGGTAGCCATCCCAGATCAAAAACCCAAGGTAGCCAGCCAGTGGCGTTGGTCCATCATGCATGCACTGTGACGGAACATGATTGATCAAGTCTATTGGCGACTTTTGTTGTCAGCATATTCCAAGTCCTTATGGAGTGGTAGTACAACTTTATGATCCAACCTGCGACATCGAATAGGGATACAGGAAGCCCCGAAACCCCGCATTCTGCCACTTTTGGTTCCTAACGTCTCACAAACGGCAGACAACACGATGTTGCGCACATCGAAGAACTGGAAAGCAAACCCAAACATAATACAACATGTTGAATCTGGGGGTATGACAAGAATCAGATTGTGAAGTCGTTCTGAGTTGTTGGTGCCGCAGCCATGATTATCAGCATTTTCAATGGAAAGACAAAACTACGGATGTACAGTAGTACTACTACGTAGTATACTGTACAATTGAAGGCAAGCATAATACTGAGGGAGATGAGAGTTTGGTTTCATTTTCCTTTTAATCATGAGACCCACAGCCTGCAGTGCTATCGTTGCGGCCATCATTGCCGGTGTAGCACTAGCTCAACAACGTGATGGGAAACGCTTGATTGCCTTGTCCGACACAGACCAGCAGTGGCTGACCCCTGACGAAGTACGTGGCCACAATACATATATTTATAATATTTCCACTAGATTGACGCTTTGGAGGAAAATTCGATTGGGTTTGCCGACAACACGCGGGGCACTTGGGATGATTTGCAGCAACTTGGGCAGCAACGCAAAGCTTTGCGATTGGCTGGGAAAACCTACCCCGCCACCCCTACACAAGACGCCTTGGTGCGTTCAATCCAGGCCAAAGTCGCGCCCGCGGACTTGAAGTCCCTCTTGACCGAGTTCGTGACCAAGTTCGCCAACCGGTACAAGACGTCGGCGGAAGGGGCGCAGTCGGCTGGCTGGATCTTTGACAAAGTGACCAAGTTGAAGCCCACCAACACGAACGTCAAGTTCACCGTAACCAAGTTCGCCCATGCGTGGCGCCAGTACTCTGTCGTGGCGCGTATTGAGCCCGTGGTTGGCAGCAAGAAGTACAACGACACGGTCATTTTATCCGCCCATCAAGACTCGATCAACCCGAGCAACTTGAAGGTCGCCCCCGGCGCCGACGACGACGGATCGGGGTCCATTTCGATTTATCAAACGTTGAACCTGCTCTTGACCTCGAACGAGTGGAACCCCACGCGCCCCGTGGAAGTGCACTGGTACGCAGCGGAAGAGACGGGTTTGGAAGGGTCGGCGGCGATCGTTAAGTCATATGCAGCTCAACAAACTGACATTTACGCCCAAGTCCAGCAAGACATGATCGGTTACTACAAGCCTGGTAGCACCCCCGTGGTGGCGTTTGCTTCGGACTTTAGCTACATTCCGCTCGTGGATTTCTTGAAGAAGCTCGTGACCAAGTACTTGACCATCGGCTACGTGGATCGCGCGTTCGGCTACGGCGCGTCGGACCATGCCAGTTGGTTTCGAGCGGGGTACCCGTCGTCGTTTCCGTTTGAAGCGGGCAAAGGCTTGAGCAACCCATACATCCACACGACCAACGACACGCTGGCTAACATCAACTGGGGACACGTCGCGGACTTTACCAAGTTGTCCATTGCGTACGTGGTCGAGCTGACGCACGGGCTCTAAGCGTGGTTGGGTTGGTTATGTGGGTGACTGGAGTAGTTTGTATGTATATTGGTCGGTCGACGCTTGGCTTGAATGATCACCGTAAAAGGATTTGTCACGTTTCAGTTTGCACCAGAGTTTGTTGTTGATCTGTCTGTACTAGTAGTACCATGAAACAAATCAAGCATACAATTAGGTACGGAAAATACAATAATGCCATTTTGAGTTTATTCTCGTGATATATATATTATTCTCATACGAGAAATACCAGTTGAAGTATTTTGTTGCTATACGAGTAACTACCAGGTCAGGTTGCGCCAATAATAATGTACCATGCCCGACAAACGAGAATTCGGTGGCACACAACAATAATAACAACGATGTCCTTCAGGAACAGCAACAAATGCATATATATATATATATACTACCTCCGATTGGAAATGATTGATAGGTTTCACTTGGTTGAGCCTTGAAAAACTGTATCTCAGTCAAAATAGGTTATTGCGTTGACAATGAGTATACTTCCAGGTAGTGAATATCACTTGAAATCCATAAAGCTTAGAGAGTCCTAATTAGAATATCTTAAAAGTTATGGTCAAAATTGATCATGAATGATGGTCAATTTTCACTGTTCTTCCGTATAATTTCTGTACACCTATATCTGATTTCTCCTGAACTTATCTGTTTATAGAGGTTTAGGTGGAGATATGTGGTACAGCAAATATGACAATACCTATATAATATAATAATAATTGTACGTAACCGGTAAACCTATCAATCATTTCCAATCGGAGGTAGTATTAATGTATGTATGTATGTATTCGAGTCGGGGACCAAAATAGTCTTTTTTACTGCGGTCCTTTATATGGTGTTTTTGTGTCCTACCACATCCTACCAAAACCCTACCAAGTCCTACCATCCGTATAATTCAGCAGTTATTTGTACCCCCCGAAATACTTCGTGAAATTATCCGTAACGTTACCTGCAACAAAGTGACGGATGTCGTAACGTTAGTTCACTACTACTACTGAAACGGAATCATGGATTGAATCGGCGGAGTCTAGTAACGTTACCGCAAATAGATCGATCCCCCGCCGCCCGACCTTAAGCATGCGCGTCGACGACGATGCCGACGACAGTAGTAGTAGTAGTAGTATTGGCTATTTGCAATCGGCTCATGAACCTGCGCAACGTCGAAGCCATGCATGCCATGGAAGTCGAAGTGCTCCGTCTGACTCGAAAGCTGCGCGACATCGAAGTACCAGACATCGTTGTCTTGTTCTTCTCGTTACTATAAGCTGGTCGGTGTAGGCGCGGGACAATTCTCAGCAGTCGACGGATTCACACTTGTCGTTTATACTACAGCGCAACCAAGCATCATCGTGCCGTCGTTCCAAGAAACAGAGTCGTTGCGACAGGATCTAGCGCGGCTGCAGAGGAAACTCGACGTGGTCAATACTAAACGATTGGCCACCGACGAAATAAATCAGTTGCTGGCCGAGGATATCCTAGCACAAGCTTTAGCCAGACACGCGTAGGACGGTATTTTTTGGTGGTCGACCTTTTATGTCTGGCGCTGTGTCGTAGCAAGTGCTAAAAATCGAAGAGGTAGCCCCAGATGCCTCTAGACCGTGCGTTGGGTGTGGCGACTGGCAAACTGCCAAAGGCAAGCACAGGCGGCAGCTCGATGCGTTGGCACGACAACAAGATAAGCTCGCCAAGGACCTACTAGACGAACGGGCAAGTAGTAGTAGTACTAAGGCCTACTGTACTAGTGTGGTGGTTTAGTAGGCTCATATATACACGATTTTGCACGAGATAGCGTCCCGGCGAAAGCGAAGAAATTAGGACACTTCGAACTCAATTGGCGGTCGCTACGCAACAACTGAACAAGGGCCACTCCAAACAGTGATCGAAGATATGCCGAAATATAGATTTTATTAAAGTATTGAAATGCTTCGAGCAACGATACAAATATCTATTTATAAAAGCAAATAAGTATCATACGTTCAAAGTACCTCTGAATAAGGTTGAAATTCTATATCAAAATTCCCCGAATAATATCAACTAACCAAGGGTTTCATTGCTGCGGTAATAGTTTTATCTAATCATATCAATTTTGTCGTCCTATTGGGCAAGACGTTTGTCAAATCAGTGAAAATCAATCATCATAGTACAACAAAGAAGTACAACTACATACTACGTAGTATGGTACTATTAACTGTTAATAGTAGTACTAAAACTGTATTAGTACCATGTACTGTACTGTAGTATATACAGCGTCAAATATCGTCCTTTACAGTACTGTTCTGTACTACTATAGTAGATTATACTACCGTATTATATGCTAATCAAGTGAAGTGTGTACAGTACTCCACGCGGATGTACAGAATGGAGTGATTTTCAGTTAACAGTAACCTTGCATTCAAAGGAAGGACTGGTGCATCCGATGCGAGCATGATGCGAGTACTTTGTCTAGTACTACATATAGGAGTACTAGAAGGACAAAATTTCATATCGCATAGAGTAAGCTTACAGTTATTAATAATGATTACTATACGTATACTACGTTGAACTACAGTACAGTACTTTGTACTACATGTACAATAGCTGGCCCGCCAGACACTTCAATCTTTGGCCATTGCCAGTGGTGTCCCGAAGACATCACTTTTTCGGCACAAGAAAAGCACACCAAGTGTAGCGATGTGACAGGTGGGTTAACGGCTTGCCACCACCTTGCCCGCACCCAGCTCCTAAGTACCTGGCTCATGACGAACCCTAGCTAATGCTTGCCTGGGAATGTGTCTCAAGGGCAAGTATGGCTTAGAATCGCTAGCCTAGTGAAGTTCCCCAATGTCTCAACCGCACCCGCATCCATTGTATACAAAAGTGCATATTAG